GGTTGAACGGCTTTGGCCCCAGCCTGTCTGTAGGACACAATGGCAGTTTCTCAAAGGAGGGTTCTTCATCAGTGGTTACTGTCCGAAGACAGTTTGGATGAGATCAGCTGTGGTTAATTTATGATGCCTCGAGATAACCCCATGCATATCCACGAAGCCCATAAAATTCAGTCAAGTGTACATGGACGGGGCCTTGCGGGGGCTGGGGTCAGGGACAAGAATATTAATGAACAGAGGAGAGAATGTTCCCAGAAATTCAGCTATGAATTGCTGGAGAGGTTTCGGCTGAACAATGAAAGAGAACCCCAGAATTTTCTTTTCTTTTCTTTTCTTTTTCCTTTTTCTTTTTGAGACAGAATCTTGCTCTGTTGCCCAGGCTGGAGTGCAATGGTGCCATCTTGGCTCACCACAACCTCCACCTCCCAGGTTCAAGCCTTTCTCCTGCTTCAACTTCCCGAGTAGCTGGGATTACAGGCATGCGCCACCACGCCCAGCTAATTTTGCACTTTTAGTAGAGACTGGGTTTCTCCATGTTGGTCAGGCTGGTGTCGAACTCCCGTCTTCAGGTGATCTGCCCACCTTGGCCTCCCAAAGTGCTGGGATTATAGGCGTGAGCCACTGTGCCCGACCAAGCCCTAGAATTTTCTAGTGAAAAGGCAAGCATGGGATAATTGAAACTAGCCTTCTGAAATACGTCATTTTATTTTATTTTTTTTTATTTTATTTTAATTTTTGAGACAGGGTCTCACTCTGTCGTCCAGGCTGGAGTACAAAGCCGTGATCTTGGCTCACTGTCACCTCTGCCTCCTGGGTTCAAGTGATTCTCCTGCCTCAGCCACCTGAGTAGCTGGGATTACAGGTGCCCACCACCACGCCCAGCTAATTTTTGTATTTCTAATAGAGACAGGGTTTCACCATGTTGGCCAAGCTGGTCTTGAACCCCTGGCCTCAGGTGATCCACCTGCCTCAACCCCACAAAGTGCTGGGAGTACAGGCCATCATTTTTAAATGATTCTCCACCATCCTGGGATTTTGTGAAGAAGTCCACAAGCCTTCTCTTGGAATCTTTCAGAGTTGGCCAAATGTTACGGCTGACCCTAGTATGACTCCTTGGTTTTACAGATAAGGGAATTGAGGCACAGCTAGGCTCAGAGACTTACTGAACCTCATACAGCAAACTGTTGGGGAGAGTAGGGCTTGACCCAGCATGTCTGGGGCTCTTTGTTTTATTGATTCTTCGGTGCTGCATCTTCACATCCCAGGCTTGGGTGTTTTCAGAATAAGAGGCTCACAGGCTGGGGGTTTCTCACATGGTGGCCTCCTCTGCCCTGACTTCTCTGTCTGTCTCTGCCTTCACCTCTTTTCACTGGCTGTTTCTCTGGCCCTCCCTGTCACTCTCTTCCTCAGTCTCTCTTTCGCCATCTCTCCACTCCCCTCTCTCTTTCTCCCTCTGTCCTTGCCTCCTTTTCCTTCCTCTTTGAAGCTCTTTCTCTGTCTTTGGGTTTTGTTCAGTGTCTCTCTTTCTGTTTGAATGTCTCACTATATATTGGGAGGGGGTGTATGTGTGTGTGTTTTCCTCTCTCTTTCTCTTCATCCATCAACCGCCGCCTTCTTCTTCTTCTTCTTCTTCTTCTTCTTCTTCTTCTTCTTCTTCTTCTTCTTCTTCTTCTTCTTCTTCTTCTTCTTCTTCTTCCTCCTCCTCCTCCTCCTCCTCCTCCTCCTCCTCCTGCCTCCTCTCCTCTTCTTCATTCTCCTCCTCTCCTCTCCTCCTCCATTCTTCTTTTTTTTGGGTCACGAGAGGAGTTTCGCTTTGTCATCCAGGCTACAGTGCGAGTGGGCATACTCAGCTCACAGCAACCTCTGCCTCCCGAGGTTCCAAGCATTCGCCTACCTCAGCCTCCCAAGTAGCTGGGACCACAGACGGCATACACACCACACCCAGCTAATTTTTGTATATTTTAGGACAGACAGGTTTTCACCAGGTTGGCCAGGCTAGTGTCCGAATTCCTGGCCTCAGGTGAGTCCACCCTACCTCCGGCCTCCCAAAGTGCTGGCGATTACAGGCACTGAGTCCACCGCGCCCAGCCCACATCAACCTGCTAAGGGATTTTTTGGATCTCGTATGGCTAATAACAAAGGGAAACTGGATTGAAAGAACTTGCAGCGTGGGAAACTGATGACTTGCAATGCTAATGATGAGTGACATGAAACAAAGATGTGTAAAGGCGAGGTATGGGTGGCTCTGCAAACGTTGCATGGTCTTCAGCACACTTGGTCTTCATAAAGTATCAATAATAAGCAAAAAGCAGTGTGCCAAGGATCACCGCATTATATTGTCGAATATAGTCAAGATCTGTAAAAGATGTTCAAACAAGAAGGAAAGAGGTTCCAGCACTCTTGGGAGGCTGAGGCCAGGTCGGATCACCTGAGGTCAGGAGTTTCAAGACCAGCCTGGCCAAACATGGTGAACCCCATCTCTACTAAAAATAAAAAAATTAGCTGGGTCCTGCTGACCACGCCTGTGGTCCCAAGCTACTTGGGAGGCTGAGGCAGGAGAATCGCTTGAACTCAGGAGGTGGAGGTTTCAGTGAGCCGAGATCACTCCATGGCACTCCAACATGGGAAACAGAGCAAGACTCCATCTAAAAAAAAAAAAAGAAAAGAAAGAAAAGAAAAGAAAAAAGAAATGTTAGAAATAAGTGAAGGCAACAGTCATTTCCAAAGACTAGGATTCCCCAAAGGTATTTTTAAAGTCTTGGATAGGCTTTTATTTCATAAGAGCTTCTAATTTGACAGTTGTTGATGTTTTTGACAGTTTAGTTGCAGGGAGGGCTACCTTTTGCCACTTTTTTCCAAAGGAGATTCCATCTTACTGAGAAAAAAAATGGAGATGAAAAGATAGCCTGTCTTCCACAATTTTTTTTCGGAGACAGGGTCTCACTCTGTTGCCCAGGCTAGAGTGCAGTGGTGTGATGATAGCTCACGGCAGCCTCAAACTCCTGGGCTCAAACTATCCTCCTACCTCAGCCTCCCAAAGTGCTGGGACAGCAGGCGTATGCCACCATGCTCGGCTAATTTGTTAACTTTTTTTTTTTTTGTACAGATGGGGGTCTCATTATGTTTCCCAGGCTGGTCTCAAACTCCTGGTTGCAAACGATGCCTCCACCATAGCCTACCAAAGCACTAGGATTGCAGACGTGAGCCACTGTGCCCAGTCCCTCTTCTAAGAATAGTAACTAAGGGCCAGGTGAGGTGGCTCACGCCTATAATCCCAGCACTCTGGGAGGCCAAGGCGGGTGAATCACCTTGTTCGAGACCAGCCTGACCAACATGGTGAAACCCTGTCTCTACTAAAAATACAAAAATTAGCCAGGTGTGGTGGCTCATGCCTGTAATCCCATTTACTAGGGAGGGTAAGGCCGGAGAATCACTTGAACCTGGGAGGTGGAGGTTGCAATGAGCCGAGATCGCACCATTGCACTCCAGCCTGGGCAACAAGAGCAAAATTCTGTCTAAAAAAGGAAAAAAAAAGGAACAGTAACTGAGAACACACTGTGTTTCAGAATTCATAATTAATCTAATTTTTCATAGTTGGATATGTAGGTGTCCATAACGCTGCACCGCTTATTCCTCAGAACTTCAAAGCCATCTGCAGCCCATTAGGTTAATCGCCAAGGGCCTCCAGAGAACAGTGGCCCACATCGAAGGTTTGTGGAGCACCAACAACGGTGCTTATATTAGGGAAGCAAACCTGCTTTTCCAAGAAACCTCCCTGGGCCTCTCCAGGGGATTCTTGAGCCCTGGCTGACAAAGACCAGGGAGATCTGAGATACAAGTAAACCTGTGACTGCTCATGGGCTCCCTGATGGTTCTCTCTTCATGGAAACGACGTGAAATTCCTCAGCCTGCATCTTCCCTGTCTGTTATTTTAAGTATTTCTTCCTTGCAAGGTAGATAGCTTAACTTTGGAGCAGAGCGAGAGCAAGGAAGGAGGGAGAAGTTGGGGGATGAAAGATGAAAGGAGAGGAGGAGGAAGGGGAAGAGGGGAAGGAGGGAGAAGAGGCAGGGAAGGAGGTGGAAGGGGGAAGAGGAGGAAGGGAGGAAGGAGGAGGAGGGGGAGAAAGAGGGGGAGGAAGAGGGGGAGGAGGTGAAGAAGGAAGAGGAGGAGGAGGGAGAGAAGGAGGGGAATGAGGGAGAGTAGGAAGAAGGAGGAGGAGAGGAGGAGGGGAGAAAGAGAGAGGGGAAGGAGGGAGAAGAGGCAGGGAAGGAGGTAGGGGGAGGAAGAGGGGGAGGAGGTGAAGAAGGAAGAGGAGGAGGAGGGAGAGAAGGAGGGGAATGAGGGAGAGTAGGAAGAAGGAGGAGGAGAGGAGGAGGGGAGAAAGAGGAGGAAGAGGAGGAGGAGGGGGAGACAGAAAGGAAGGAGGGAGAGGAGGAGGAGGAGGAGGGGGAGGAGGAGGGGAGAGAAGGAAGAGGAGGAGGAGGGAGAGAAGGAGGGGAATGAGGGAGAGTAGGAAGAAGGAGGAGGAGAGGAGGAGGGGAGAAGAGGAGGAAGAGGAGGAGGAGGGGGAGACAGAAAGGAAGGAGGGAGAGGAGGAGGAGGAGGAGGGGAGAAGAGGAAGAGGGGGAGGAGGAGGGGGAGACAGAGAGGAAGGAGGGGGAGAAGAGAGGAAGGAGGGGGAGGAGGGGAAGAAAGAAGAAAAGGAGGAGAGGGAAGAAGAGGAGGAGGGGAGGAGGAGGGGTAAGGGAAGAAGAAGGAGGAGGAAAGGAAGGAGGAGGAGAGGAGAACGAGAAGAGAGAAAAAGAATGATGAGGAGGAGAAGGTAAAAAAGGAGAGGGACAAGGAAGAAGTGGGGAGGAGGGAAACAGAGGAGGGGACAGGGAGGGGAAGTGGGGAGGAGGGAAAGAGAGGAGGGGACAGGGAGGGGAAGTGGTTGTGGTTAGTTCCAGGGGCTATAAAATCTTGGAGATCAGCTGGTCGACCACGAGTGTCTGACAGGAGCATGGCCCGGCACATGGGGCTCCTGCTGGTTTGGGTCTGCCTGTTTCGCGGTGTGGTCGGTGGTGTGGTTGGCGGTCTATTCAACATTCTAGAAGAAGGTGAGGAGCCAGGTGACCCTGGCTGGGGACAGAGTCCTGCATATCTGCTGCTGTATATAATCAAATCCCAGTCGCCACAGAGGGCAACAGTCCCCCTTGCTTTAGGTACCTTAAGAAAGAAAAAGATACTCTCCCTTTCAGGTCAGAAACACAATCCATGGGTAAATATTTTTTTAAAAATAAGAAAGTTCAGCGAATAAAAGAATGAAAGACTAAGAATGTAAATTGGAAAATCCTAGTGACATGTTACTTGAAAACCATATGTCTCCTCCCTGTATGCTAGGAGATTTTAAATGTCTCATGCAGAGGTTTTGAAAATGAGACTGATTTTCATAAAGTCGATTTTATTCCTTTTCCAAAGTCGTGTTGCCTGTAACAATGATGAAGCGAAAATATAAAAATAAGAAGGGAATTCACTATGGATGCATCTGACACATTTGATAAGGACTAAGCATAGTTTCAAAAACATTTTTTTATGGAATGACCAAGAATAATGATCTTGCATATATTTCTTTTAAGAATTCTTCAGGACATCCTTGCATTAAAAAAAAATAACACTGTGCTTGCTATTTTTTAAAAAAAGAACAGAAAAGAAAAAGGTACTCCCAATGTAACTATGACCTCTGCTTTCTTATCCAGCAGAATTATTTTGTACTTATTGAAAAATAACACTGTACCTGGCCACAGGTTTTTTTTTTAATCAGACATCATGTTTGTAGATACATAAAAAGGAATATAGATAAGTGGGAAAAAGCTAATTAAGATGATCCTAAATCTTCTCCACTGTCAATGTCTGCTCTCCTGAATTATGGATGTCATATTTTTCCACATAATACTTGTGCCATTCAGAGCCTTAGAGATTAAGCATTTCTCTTAATAATGCATCAGAGAATAAAAACTCATGAGCCCCGGGCTTGTTAGCCTGTATGTTAAATGATGTGGTGCTGGTCTCCTTTTGATCTGCAGAACTGTTGTCTATTCACTATCTCCCTCTCTCTCCCTTGCATCTGCCTCCTGGACTTATTCTCTCTCTCTCTTTTTTTTTTTTTTTTTTTTGAGATGGAGTCTTGCTCTGTCACCCAGGCTGGAGTGCAGTAGCATGATCTCGGCTCACTGCAACCTCAGCCTCCCAGATTTGAGCAATTCTCCTGCCTCAGCCTCCCGAGTAGCTAGGACTAAAGGTGCATGCCACCAGACTTGGCTAATTTTTGTATTTTTAGTAGAGACCAGGTTCCACCATGTTGGCCAGGTTGGTCTCAAACTCCTGACCTCAGGTGATCCACCTACCTCAGCCTCCCAAAGTGCTGGGATTATAGGCAGGAGCCACCGCACCTGGCCTATTGTCTCTTAAGAGTTTCTTTTGAGCAAACTGCAAGTTTTTTACACTGGTTTCTTGAGTAGCAAACTGCAAGGTTTTTACACTGGTTGTATTCAATACAGACAATCACAACTGGGTCCCCACAGCAATCCTGCTTGCAGATAATAAGATGTTGTGGCAAAGAATGGGAAGGTGTGAACTCATAGACATCTAGGGCTCAAAGTCTTGCTTGAGGCCGTCGGTTAAGCTTGGTTGGAACCCAGAGATGCTGGGGGGAAATCTGGACTCGTGAGCTTGCCAGGAGCAGTCAAGTGGGACAGAGGAGGGGAAGGGAGGCTTCAGTTCTTGATGAGTGGGGATGTATGAGAGCTCTCAGCTACGGTTCTCCCTCATCCTCATCAGGGGAGCAATGCATTTTAGTGTTTTAGAAACAGTGACAGGCTGGGTGCAGTGGCTCACACCTGTAATCCCAGCACTTTGGGAGGCCGAGGTGGGCGGATATGAGGTCAGGAGTTCAAGACCAGCCTGACCAACATGGCGAAACTCCATCTCTACTAAAAATACAAAACTGAGCCTGGTGTGGTGGCAGGTGCCTGTAATCCCAGCTACTCAGGAGGCTGAGGCAGGAGAATCACTTGAACCCAAGAGGCGGAGGTTACAGTGATTCGAGATCACGCCATTGCACTCCAGCCTGGGCAACAAGAGCAAGATTCAGTCTCAAAAACAAACAAACAAACAAAAAATAATAATACAAAAAATAAAAACAGTGACCTGATAGGTTTGCTAGAGGCACAGGATGCAGAGACTAAACAGCATGAGCATCTCCACTCATGAGCATACGATATGCACCCCCATCTCTTCCCACTAGTGCACGATCTAGTGGCAAGGCAGAAGAGGAAACAGACCGTGTGTGTGGCACATGCTGAATTGGCTATACGCCTGCCCTGAAAAAGAAAAAGTGATGGAACTGGCAAGACTTCACAAAGGACTTGATTGGGTGATCTTGTTCCAGGGCTAAAAATTTGCCATGTCCAAAATGTAATTACTATTCCAAGTTGATGGGTTGTCTAAGGGATTACGTGGGAGTGGGGTCCCTTGCAGGGAGAACTGTCCAGGTATGTAGATCCATGCTTCATGAACCCAAAACGCTGGGGTTTTCCCTTTTGCCGTTTGGCATTTCAGGCTTTGGTGCAGAGGGACTGCCCGCCAACCAGTCGTTTGATGTCAACAAGGGTTTGTGTTAAAATGGGAATCTTGCATTGCAAGAGCCATTGTTTTAAAGAGGATGAGGAGGAACCATAGCTAAGAGCTCTCATGCATCCCCGCTCACCAAGAACTAAAGGCTCCTCTCGCCTCCTCCGTCCCACTCTTCTCCGCTCCTGGCAGGCTCGCTCTGTCGCCCAGGCTGGAGTGCAGTGGCCGGATCTCAGCTCGCTGCAAGCTCCGCCTCCCGGGTTCACGCCATTCTCCGGCCTCAGCCTCCCGAGTAGCTGGGACTACAGGCGCCCACCACCTCGCCCGGCTAGTTTTTTGTATTTTCTATAGAGACGGGGTTTCACCGTGTTAGCCAGGATGGTCTCGATCTCCTGACTCGTGATCCACCCATCTCGCCTCCCAAAGTGCTGGGATTACAGGCTTGAGCCACCGCGCCCGGCCAGGAGACAGTTTTCCCTCCAGCATCTCCGGGTTCCAACCAAGCTTAGCCCGTGGCCTCGAGCAAGACTTTGAGCCTGGATAGCTATGAGTTCCACATCTGAAGCAGAGAGATCATGATTCTTGCTGCCTCCCAGGGTTGCGGAAGATTAAATGGGTTACATGCGTGACGCTCAGAACGGAACTGTTATCGTTCATTGTCATTATTACTACTATTACAGTACCAAAAGTACTATTACAGTATTAAAGAGGCAGGATAATGGTTTGGATTTAGTAGTCGATAGTCACAGAGTGAGTTTAACTACTTTAAACATCTCGTACAAGTGGAATCATGCAATATTTGTCCTTTTGTGACTGGTTTGGTTCACTTAGCATAATATCCTCCAGGTTCATCCATGTTACCGAAAATGGCAGGATTTTCTCTTTTTAAATTTTTTTTAATTTTTAATTTTATTTTATTGTATTTGTTTTTCGAGACGAGGTCTCACTCTGTCGCCCAGGCTGGAGTGCAGCGGTGTGATCTCAGCTCACTGCAACCTCAGCCTCCCAGTACTGGGACCACAGGAGCACACCACCATGCTCAGCTAATTTTTTTTGTAATTTTGGTAGAGATAAGATTTCGCCAAGTTGCCCACCTTGGGCAGGTCTCAAACTCCTGAGCTCAAGCGATCTGCCTACCTCTGCCTTCCAAAGTGCTATGAGCCACCACACCCAGCCCTGCCTAAAGGTTCTTTGATCAAGGTTGTTTTGACCTAAGGAAAGGATCAATAGTAAATATATGTTCTGGCCAGGCATAGGTCAAGATGGGAAGATTGCTTGAGCCCAGGAATTTGAGACCAGCCTGGGAAACATAGTGGGACCCAGTCTCTACAGCAAATTTTGAAAATTAGCCAGGTATGGTAGTGCGTGCCTGTAGTTCCAGCTACTTGGGAGGCTGAGGCAAGAGAATCACTTGAGCCTGGGAAGTCAAGGTTGCAGTGAGCTATGATAGCGTCACTGTACTCCAACCTGGGTGACAGAGTGAGATTCTGTCTCAAAAAAAAAAAAGTAAGTACACGTATGTAGTACATGTTCTTCCACAAAGAACACTAGATAAAATAGAAATTTTAGGGACATTCTGAGAATGGGGTTAATCAGAAACCAACACGGCGAATTAGCATCCAAGACAGAGGTGCTTTAGCCTCCACAAACTGTATTGTCTAGTGATGCTCAAATTCTTCGTCTTCATCCTCACTGTCTGGGGTTGCATTGCAGAGCGTCCTTCCAAAATTCATGTTTACCAGAGATCTGTGAATATGACTGTATTTGAAATAGGTCTTTGCAGACGTACTTAATGAAGATGCAGTCATAACAGGTAAGCGTTGACCCTAATCCAATGACTGGTATCTTTTTAAGAAGAGGAAACAGACACACACAGGGAAGACAGCCATGCACAGTCAGAAGCAGAGATTAAAGTGATGCTGCCACAAGCCACAGAATGCCACAGCCTGCCAGCAGACACCAAAAGCAAGGAGAGAGGCACAGAACAGTTTCTTCCTCTGAGCTCCTAAGAAGGAACCAACCCTGGCATTTTGGCCTTCTGGCCTCCAGATCTATGAGACAATAAATGTCTATTGCTCCAGACCAAACTGTCTATGGTACTTTGTCTAGATTTTTTTTTTTTTTTTTTTTTTTTTTTAGATAGGGGCTACTCTGTCACCCAGGTTGGAGTGCAATGGCACAATCATGGCTCACTGCAGTCTTGACCTCCCAGGTTCAAGTGATCCTCCTGCCTCAGCCTCCCAAGTAGCTGGGGCTACAGAGCGCACACCACCATGCCCAGCTAATTTTTGTGTCTTTATTTATTGTAGAGATGGGGTCTTGCTATGTTGTCCAGGCTGGTCTCAAACTCCTGGGTTCAAGCAATCCTCCTGGCTCAGCCTCCAAAAGTGCTGGGATTACAAGCTAAATCACCATGCCCGACCAGTAAATTTCTACAACACAAAACCAAGGAAGAAGCAGACACAGAGGCCACGTGTCTCTCCTGTCTGTGGGATGAGCCTCCCATGGTTTGGTACCCGAGGACCCCAACTCCTCCCCGTTCATTGTTACTGCTCTTCATCAGTGCTCTTCCAGGCCTTCTGACATTCTCCAGATTCGAAACTTTTGACTTCCATCTTGGGTGCTGTATTCCTGGTCTTTGAACATAGAATGGAACAGCAAGTGCAGCCCTTTGGGAAGACTCCTGACCCAGCTCTTGAATCCAAACAAGAACCTTGGCCAAGATAGGATCGTAGGACTACCATGTAGCAGCTACAGCAATTCCCCATGATAGGGAGGCGACTGCACTTTTCTTCCCTAGTCTGTTTGACCAGCTTCCCCAAGCTCCCTCCTCTGGGGCTCCATAACTTGGAAGAATAAAGTCTGATAAACTGTATCCTCCTGTGGACAACTGCAAGGATGCCAATACATACTGTTGAAGATGCTGAAATTCACGGCTCATCCTCTGGAAAAGCGGTCAGGTTCAGGGGACTTCATAAGCTCCTGAGCACATTTCACAGGCTTTCATTTTATTTACATTCACTTACTCTTTTCCTCTTTTTTTTTTTTTTTTTTAAACAAAGTCTTGCTCTGTTACTCACACTGGAGTGCAGTGGTGTGATCTCAGCTCACTGCAACCTCCACCTCCCGGGTTCAAGTGATTCTCCTGCCTCAGCCTCCCAAGTAGCTGGGATTACAGGCACACACCACCACGCCCAGATAATTTTTGTATTTTTAGTAGAGATGGGGTTTCACCATGTTGGCCAGGCTGGTCTTGAACTCCTGACCTCAGGTAGTCCGCCCACCTCGGCCTCCCAAAGTACTGGGATTACAGGTGTGAGCCACCGCGCCCGGCCCACTTATTCTTTTTCTAATGTGCTTCCTCTCTTTATATCTCTGAAGAACTTTTAACATTTCTTTCAAGGCAGGTTCTCTGGTAGCAAATTCCCTCAACGTGAGTTTGTCTGAGAATCTTTGTCTTTCTTTCTCCTTCACTTTCGAAGAATAATTTTGTAGGGTACAGAATTCTAGATTGAAGATTTTTTTCTCTCAACACTCTAAATGCTTCATTCTTATCTGCATGGTTTCTGGAGAGAAGTTGGATATAATTCTTATCTTTGCTTCTCTGTAGGTAAGGTATTTTTCCCCCTCTGGCTTCTTTCAAAAGATTTTTCTTTAAAAAATTTTTATTTTAGATGCAGGGGGTACATATACAGACTTGTTACATGAGTATATTGCATAAATGGTGAGGTTTGGGATTCAGTTGAAGCCATCACCCAAATAATGAACATATTGCCCAATAGGTAGTTTTCTTTTTTTCCTTTTTTTTTTTTTTTTTTGGAGACAGAGTCTTGTATTGCCCAGGCTGGAATGCAGTGGCACGATCTTGGCTCACTGCAACCTCTGCCTCCCAGGTTCAAGCAATTCTCTTGCCTCAGCCTCCCAACTAGCTGGGATTACAGGCGCCCACCACCACGCCCAGCTAATTTTTGTATTTTTAGCAGAGGCGGGATTTCACCATGTTCGCCAGGCTGGTCTTGAACTCCTGACCTCATGATCCGCCCACCTCAGCCTCCCAAAAGTGCTGGGATTACAGGTGTCAGCCGCTGCGTGCAGCCATCAATAGGTAGTTTTCAAGCCTGGGTCCCCTCCTTACCTCCCCACTTCTGTAATCCTCAGTGTCTCTTGTTCCCATCTTTGTGTCCCTGTGCACCCAGTGTTTAGTTCCCACTTATAGGTGAGAACGTGTGGTATTTGGTTTTCTGTTTCTGCATTAATTTGCTTAGGATAATGACCTCCAGCTGCATCCATGTTGCTAAAAAAGACATGATTTTGTTCTTTTTTATGGCCGTATAAAACAATTTTGGGTTTATCTGAAAAAGTGAGACTCATTTTTATTTCAAATCAGGGTATTTTAAAAAACCTTATATATTGTAACAGAATTTAGCTTGAATTATGATGAAAGGTGAGTTATTGAGAATGAAAAGAATTGGGATGCAGGACTTTTCTGACAAAATTGTTATGATTTTCCAGTGCATAGCTTTGTCTTCTTCCATTTTACACTTTCCTCAAAGGATCATAAAGAAAGCCAGTTTTGTATAAGTATTCTAAGACTAATTCTAGGACTATATTAATTTTTAGGGGCCCTTCTTAATCCTTTGAAATTAAATATATATATATATGTTTTCTTCAAGCCAGGTATGGTGACTCACACCTGTAATCCCAGCATTTTGGGAGGCCAAGACGGGTGGATCACCTGAGGTCAGGAGTTTGGGTCCAGCCTGGCCAACATGGCAAAACCCTGTCTCTACCAAAAATACAAGAATTAGCCAGGTGTGGTGGTGCACACCTGTAGTCCCAGCTACTTGGGAGGCAGAGGCAGGAGACTCAGCTGGTGATTCTAATATGCAACAAAGCTTGTGAACCATTGTGCTGGTCCATTATAACTATTTCTTAAATAATATATGCCTAAGGAAAAACGTTTTAATTTCAAGCCACAATGGCAGCCAGGACAGTTTAGCTGAAAAACAAAACTGTGGAAAGAATAAACATGAGCAAATAGCAAAATAATCGGTAATAAATAAAATATACACAACAAATTCAGAATTAAAATCATTGCTTTTGCAAAAATCTTTTCAAAAAATAAAAAAATTAAGTCATTGCTCTTTTAAGTGTAATCTACAAATTTGATGAACTAGTTATGAACACAGATTATGTTGAGTTATAATGCTTTAATATGAGAGATATCTGCAAATTACATTATAGTATGTGTATGTTCTCTTAACCAAACATGACATTTGTAAATTTACTTGTTGGTAAATTGTGCTTTTCTATCTTACATCATTTTAATGATTATTAAGTATCATCTATCATGGGCTATTTGGGAAAAAAATCAAATCTTTCACTCTGTATTTATTCTACAATTCATTCTACATTGTATTTCATCCTAAAGTTACGACTGTTCTTAAAGCCTCAATTAAATGAACTTTGTAACAGTTATTTAATATTTAACTAAACACATGCTGGTTTTGAATCAAATAGCCTTTGCATAAAACCACTTCATCAGGAACCATGCAAAGTAACAAAACAAAAAATTCAAGTTCTAAGGAGGGGGAGGTAAATATTACAGGTTTAATGGCTCATGAAGGAACAATGATTGAAAAATGCTGCTTTAAGAAAAATAAAAAAGTAAAGCTATCAGGCAATCTTCTTCGTTCCAAGAATATTAGGATATTCAGACTGGGGAGGACTTGACATCCTAATGTTCTCTCTCCATTTTATAGCAGAGTAAACTGAGGGCAGATGGTTGGTCAGTGGTTGAGCCTGTGTCAGGGTTTGGGCTGTTACTTCCTACTGAACCAACCTCTCCAGGGAGGATTCGAATTGAATTGCCATATGCTTAACTTTTTTAATTTAATGGAACTTAACATTTCTGAACTTTGTCTCTAAGATGATGGAAACAATGCTTGCCTCACAAAATTGTTCTGATAAGTTAAATAAAATATAGTATGCAGGATAGAGAAGATGCTCAGAGCATTTATTTGCATTTCCTACATACCTCAGAGGTATCATTCTTATTTTTCCCTCCTAGAGGAAGAAGTTTCCATTTTGAAAGTGATAACTCTAAAGACATGAATCTCTAATAGTAGAATTCAGGTATTCAGTGAGAAGTGGTGACAAAAATAAAAACCTATAGTGTTCCATATCAGAAACCTATGATGAAGTAGTTTATTTTATAGAAAAATGTGAGAAAAGTAAATAATTTCCTTTGCCTGCTGAATTTTTTAAGAATAATTTTAATCATTCCTATCCTTTAATAATATTTGGAAAATACAGTTAAAGCAAAAGAAAAATAAGAAATCACCCACAATCACACTACCAAAAATAAGCTCTATTGAACCAAAGTTAACTTAGTTAACTTAGTTTTGCCTAACTTTCAAAATAGTATTATTCTTACTAGAATAGAAATTGGTGAAATCTTTTCATTTCTTTTATTTTAAAGTGACATAAATATTTGTTCAAAATTGTGTCTTTCAGATGAATTGTCATCAACTGTGGGTAAGTTGATCAAAAAACTTTTATTGGGGTTTCTTTTAAAAGTTTTGCAATAAAACGTGAAACCATTGAATATTCCCTTTCCTGGTAAGAAATCATATTTTTCATTAAAGATTACTATTTTATGTACTTATATTTAAGTAAATTCCATGTTAAAAATGTTAAGAAAAAAGAAGAATCCCAGCACTTTGGGAGGCTGAGGCGGGAAGACCATGAGGTCAGGAGATCAAGACCATCCTGGCTAACATGGTGAAACCCCGTCTCTACTAAAAAACTACAAAAATTAGCTGGGTGTGGTGGCAGGCACCTGTAGTCCCAGCTACCTGGGAGGCTGAGGCAGGAGAATGGCCTGAACCTGGGAGGCGGAGCTTGCAGTGAGCCGAGATTGTGCCACCCAACTCCAGCCTGGGCAACAGAGTGATACTCCGTCTCAAAAAAAAAAAAAAGGAAGAAGAAGTGATAAATCATAATTTTACTGTTAATTTTACTTTTGGGTGATTAAACATTTCATTACATGTAACTTCATAATGTGATTTTCAGCAAAAATCAAGTATTATGGAAAATAATGAAATAGAAAATGCCTTTTGCCACCTAAAAATGAAGTACAAATTTTTCCATATCTATTTATATGCTCATCTTTATTAATACCTACTTGATATTATAAAGTCAATTTCATTTTAAAATTCTCTCAGGGATTAATATTTTTAATTAATTCTTATTTTTTAAACTAATACTAACCATGCTGAAATAAACATTCTTAATCTAAGTGTCATTCCAATTAAAACTAGGAAAGCACAGGGGTGTTACATTAACACTATTTTAGGTTCTAACATAAGTGATATTGTAAAAAGGAAAAAATCTATATAAAATAACAGGCAAAATTATTTTATGATTGTATACTTTAAATCCCTAAGAACATGAATAAAAATTATTAGTTTTAATAAAGTAATATGGCTATGTGGCTGGATACAAGATAAACATACACCAGTCAATAGTTTTTCTCTATACTGGTAAGAACCAACTGGATATTGATGGAAATGGAAAACATTCTGTTCAACATCAGTGACCAAAAAAAAGCACTTTGGAATTAAATCAGTGAGAAATGTGTAGGATTTATATAGAACAAATAAGAAAATCATATTGAAGAGCAAAAAAATACATTTTGAAAAAGAGATATTGCCATGTTCTTGGATGGAAAACATAATACCATAACAATATCACTCTTTCCCAAACTAATATTTTTATTTAATTTTATTTTACATAAGAGCACATTTTAAAGCCTAATAATAGTGGAATAAATGTCAGCTCTAAATTTTATTTTTCAGAAACTATAAGTCATTTTCCAGAAATTGAAGGTAAGTTGATCAGAAAACTTTGATTATTAATGTGTATTTTCTTTTAATTTTGTAAAAATGGGGGAATCAGTAATTTTTTCCCAGTAAAAAAAAATAATATTTCTTCTTTATAATAAAATAGTAATATAATGCCGTTGTAAGCATAAGAAAGAGAGGTAATAAGAGTCACTCTGATCTTTCATCAGCACTAAATGTGTCTACTCTTTTTTTTTTTTTTTTTTTTTTTTTTTTTTGAGACGGAGGTCCTCGCTCTGTCGCCCAGGCTGGAGTGCAGTGGCCGGATCTCAGCTCACTGCAAGCTCCGCCTCCTCCGGGTTCACGACCATTCTCCGCCTCAGCCTCCGAGTAGCTGGGACTAACAGGCGGCCCGCACCCGTCGCCGCGGCTACAATTTTTCATATATTTTTTAGTAGAGACGGGGTTTCACCGTGTCAGCCAGGATGTGTTCGGACTCCTGACCTCAGTGATCTGCCGTCCGGCGTCCAAACGTGCGTGGGATTACAGGCTTGAGGTCCAACACGCGCCGGCGTCGTCTACTCTTTAATTTCCAATCGAACAAAGACAATACAGAATTTTCAAAATTTATATTAACAGACAAAACACATAATAATTAGAAAATTATGCAAACCAAAAGTGCTGTAAGTAGAGAATATTTCGGACTCATTCACACATTCATTCCTCCTACAAGTAATCCCCCCACAAGGAACGACGAGGAGGGAGGAAGGAAGAAGAAGAGGAAAAAGAAGAAGGAGGAGGAGGAGGAAGAGGAGAGAAGAAAAGAAGAAATATTTTGTGATACTTGCTGTCTCCAGAGTCTGCTCATTTTACCACCATGCTTCCTTACCTCTCTAGTAATTTCAAGAAATTTTAGAGCAAATATAGAATGGATCCCAGGATATATTAGAATAATCCATGGTTTTAAGCATGACCATTTAAATGTACAGGTGGTTTATTTCATCATCAATCTGTCATTACTAAATGTGTTTGAAAGAAAATAAAGTTGCATTGCCCTTTTGCATCATATACAAAACTAAATTCTAGCTTAATCAAATTTTAAATGTAAAAGGAACAAAATTGTTTAATTTAAGAAGAAAATGGAAAATGTATGTGTGGCCTAAGGACCAGCAGATCTTTTAAAGCAAGGCAGAAATCGTCTGTAATACAGGTAAACATTTTTAAAGTGTGTAAATGCTTCATGCTAATGAAAATTCAGGTAAAGGAGCACAATTTGTGGGAAAGACTAATTGCCATTTTCTTTGACAAAGCAATATTCATCGATGTTAAAATTGTATATACACTTTGTCCTTGTAACCTTGCTTTGGAGATTCTATAGAAACAAACGCTTCAGTACATAAGGATTTAAAGGCGTGAAATGTTTACTGCAGCTGTATTTACAGTGGGAAAAATCTGAATGTGGAAATACTGAATGAATTGTGGTGAATCCGTATCACAGAACATGAATCAGCATTAGAAAGAAGTTAAGGCCTGACTCAGTGGCTCACGCCTGTAATCCCAACATTTTTGGAAGCTGAGGCAGGAGGATGCTTGAGCTCAGGAGTTTGAGGCCACCCTGGCCAACATAGTAAGATCTCATCTCTACAAAAAATTTAAAGATTATCTGGGCATGGTAGCATGCACCTGTAGTCCCAGCCTACTCTGGAGGTTGAGGTGGGAGGATCGCTTGAGCTCAGGAGAATGAGGCTGCAGTGAGCCATGAAGAAGTTAGAGCAACATAATCACTTTAAGAAGATTTCTGTGATGTGTTAAGTTGGAAACTCAATTATAAAATATGATTAATTTTGAAGGGTGGCAAAAAATCATGCATGTGTGCCTGTGTGTATGCACATATAACTATATATATCCTGTATTAACCATACAGCATATATACAAAACAATATAACATATATAAGTATATATGTATAACCATACAACATATATATACCCAGGTGACACACATACACACATGTATAGTTGTATGGGAGAAGGAGAGAAAGAGAGATGATGGAAGGAGGTGAAAATAAGAGATCCAGGGGCAGGGGGGAAGAATTGTTTGGTAGATAAATGCCCACATTTATGTTTCTATGCTTACGAGAGATTTCTGAAACCAGAGCAAATGCTAAGCAAAATTTTGAGACTGTTTATACCCTGGGAAAAAAGTAGGGCAGGGGCAGCAATATAAAACAAAAGACCTTTGTCATTAGCGAGCCAAAGCTCTGCTATTGAGCGGCACAATAACATTTACTACAGTCACAGCCAATGACTCTGATTTCAAAGGGCAGCAGCCCCTAGGAAGACAGTGGCTTGATAACGTCTCTCTCAGCACACCCGGAAACAGAGGAAGAATTTTGTTTTCTCTAGATGGGGAGTGTGTCTTTCCATTCCACTATAAAAATGGAACCTACTACGACTGCATCAGGTCCAAGTCAAGACACAAGTGGTGCTCGTTAAATGAGACTTACGAAGGATACTGGAAGTATTGCTCTGCTGAAGGTGAGTGTCCTGCCTCTAAACACCTCAGAGCAGTAATCTCGGTCTCTGAGGCTGGGATGTGGGGAGAAGCACAAGAGGGTTCTGAAAATAGAATCCATAGCCAATTACATTGTGAAAATAAAGGATGTTCAATTTCTTACGATATAAAAATCACATTGCGCCAAAGAGATGAGCATTTCAACCACATTATTTTGAAAAGAATCCTTTTGGTAGAACATCAAAGTAATATGGGATCTGAATCCCCCACCAATATTGTTCCCATGTGCCTTTGGTGAAATAGGGCAGGGCAGATGATACGGAATAGGAAGCAAAAGTGTGTATTTGCATGTGTGTGTGTGTGCACATGTGTGCATACATGTATGTCTGTGTGAGTGTGCATGTGTATGTGTGCACATTTGTTCACGTGCATGCACATACATGTGCGCGTGTGTGCACGTGTGTGCATATGTGTGCATGTGTGTGCATGGTGTGGTGGAGGGGGTGCAGATTAGAAAGGTTTCTTACTCAGACTGCTTCTTCCTCTTTCTCTTCTGCAGATTTTGCAAGTTGTGTGTTTCCCTTCTGGTACAGACGCTTGATCTACTGGGATTGTACTGACCATGGGGAAGCATTTGGGAAAAAATGGTGTTCACTGACCAAGAATTTTAACAAGGACCGAATTTGGAAATACTGTGAATGATGGCGAGATTTACCAGGGGAGGGGGATGAAGACATTTAATCGTTCTCCTTGGAAAGAACCTATAGTTTTTGTTGGCAGAGGAGAACCCTTTCTCATTAGAGAGGGGTTTTTTTATTTTTTTATTTTTTATTTTTCTGGGATATGAGTTGAAGGTGATCTAACTAAATCACTAGAGGTTTTTGATTAAGGATTATGGGGTTTTAATATGGAAATCTGTAGTTTAGCCTCAGCACTTTAATTGCTAACTGTGTAAAATTAGTTCCTTTTAAAAATTAAGTCTATGGGGTAGGCGTGGTGGCTCATGCTTATAATCCCAGCTCTTCGGGAGGCTGAAAAGGAAGGACTGCTTGAGGCCAGGAGTTCAAGACCATCGTGGACCAATATAGTAAGACCCTGTTTCTAAAAAACAAAATTTTTTTTTAATTAACTAGGCATGGTGGCACACACTTGTAGTCTCAGCTACTCAGGAAGTTGAGGCAGGAGGATCACCTGAGTTCAACAGTTCAAGGTTGCAGTGAGCTGTGATGAAAGGGTGACCCACCTCTAAAATAAAATAAATGAAGTAAAGTAAGCATACGGACTTTGGGTGATAGTGATGTGTCAATGTAGATTCGTCAGTTGTAACCAATGTTCCAGTCTGGTGGAGGATATGGATAACACGGAGGCTATGTGTACATGGGGAATTTTTGTACCTACTACTCAATTTTTCTGTGACTTAAAACTGCTCTAAAAACTAACATGTATTAAAAATGCATGACCTTAATAAAGAATATTTTTAAAACAGAAAAAAAAGGTGATAACTGAGGTGATACCTGAGGTAGGAATACAGGTGTGGAGGGAAAGTATCAGAGTGAGGTTTAAAAAAGGTCAGATATGAACCACATGAACAAGGGAAACAAAACTGGGTGCATTGTACAAAGTGAGGGAAGGCCACTGGGGTTGGTCCATGGTGGGTGCCCTGGGAGCCGGGCAGTGGGCATGCCAGCACTTGAGAGTTGGCTAAGTCCAAAGAGAAGCCACAGAGCATCGTTCAGTAAGCAGAATCTGGATAGAATCCAATTTGATTACGGAAGCCAAGAGTGGTGGCTGATGCCTGTAATCCCAGCACTTTGGGAGGCAGAGGCAGGAGGATTGCTTGAGCCCTGGAGTTCAAGACTAGCCTGGGGCCAGGTGTGAGGTGTTGTGGCCTCAAGCCCTGTAATCCAGGTCACTTTGGGAG